TGTACCTGCTAAGATGTTTAATTAAATTGCCTACTATTATAGGTTTCGCAGAAAACCAGCTATCCTAGTCAGTATTGTCTTTCACTATACCTACCATAATTCTTCGGATATTTTTGCTACAATATTCCGTTCGGACTTTTATAATCCTGATTATGGTAAAATCACCAGGCTTCGGGTCTAACTTTAGATACTAATACCGTTATTTTAACGCTCGGTTTAACTACGTATTTACTCGCATCTAATGTTAACTTGGTGACCCATTATGCAAAAGGTACGTTTTTTTTTCAAACTGCTTATAAAATAACTATTTTTATTTGTTCCCTCACGGTACTCTATTCTATAGCTCATGTATTATATTTAGTCTTTGAGGAAGGTTCCCCATAGTATTCAAACTGTTTAGATACCATTTTACTTTTTAGACTTCTCCACTTTCGCTCACACTATTCATGGAATCTCTTTTGATTTCTTTTCCTAAAGTTACTAAGATATTTCAATTCACTTTGTTTATTATTAAATTTCTCTTAGAGTTTATATTATTATAATTAATTATATTAATAATGATTTCTCTTTAATACATAGCTAAAACTCCATAACTATTTCTTTGTATACTTATTTTTATACATTTAAATTATATATATCTAGTTATATTGCTTATTACTAATGCTTCTAAGTTTTTTTTATCGGGTTACTAAGATTCGAACTTAGGGTATCTTTCTCCCAAAGAAAGCGCTTTACCACTCAGCCATAATCCGTAAATACTAGTTTTATAAAATTATATTAATTCAAGAGTACTTGGATTTGAACCAAGAAATTGAAGGTTGAAGCTTCCTATTTTGCCTATTAAATTATGCTCTTATAAACAGAGAATATCCGATTTGAACGGATGCAGTTTATACAACTTAATAAAACTCAAACTTACCGCCTTAAACCACTCAGCCAATTCTCTATGAGTTTTCATTTTAATTCTTTTAAGATTTGAACTTAAATTTCATTCTTATCAAAAATGCACTTTACCATTAAGTTAAAGAATCCCTAAGGAGTAAAGGATTTGAACCTTTAACAAACTGTGTGTAAAACAGACATTCTACCGTTGAATTAACTCCTCTGCAACTTTTTTGTTATCTATAGTTATCACTATAGCACCTACCATTGCTAGTAGTAAAATAAAACTGGCCATAAATAGTCATATATTATAACTTGTATATAATATATTACCTATAGCAGAGATGTGACTTGTTTCATTTATATTACCATCCCATGAATTACTTGAAACAAACCTTGATGCATTATTATAATCTAAATCTATAAATTGTTTATTATTTAAATTTGAATATATACTATTATTTATTCGGTTAGTATAATTATTTAAAATTGCAATAGAATAAGGTAGTACCTCAAAAACTACAAAATTAATTAACAATACAATAAATAAAGCTAAAGGTATACTGTTAGAATTATTACTTTGTAATTCACTACTACGAATATTAATTAACATCAAGATAAATAAAAATAATATAGACACTGCACCTATATATACTATCAAGTAAGAAAACCCTATAAAGGTTAAACCACAGAAAATAAGATAAACAGCTATAAATCCAAACAATGCAATTAAACAGATTAAAGATTGTATTGGATTTTTGGTAGTAATAACAGCTATACCTGCCCCTAAAGCTAATAAACTTAATCCATCTAAAGATTTTACATCAAACCCATTACTAATAGATTCTAGTACGGTAAATAATTCGTTCATTCCGTTATTTTTTTTTCAAAGTTAATTATTGTTTTTTTTTTATTTATTAAATTTTGTAGTGCAAGACTAAAGCAAGAATACGTTCGGAAAAAAGGTGATTTGAACACCTAAGTGTATTAACACAATACATAGCAAGTATCTTACCTTACCAATGGAGATTTTTCCTATGTAAAAGTCTCTAAGATGAATCGAACATCTATCATAGTATTAACAGTACTATGCTCTACCGTTGAGCTATAGAAACTTAAAGACATAATCTCTTATGCCTTTAACTATCAACTATTAAGTATTTTCCAAAAGTTTCCTTTAGTAATTTAGAGAAAAAAGGTAGTTTTAATAGATTAGTTAGTTTCTTATCCAAAGATGTCTACGATATTTTTCTACTCCTATTGAGACATGAGATTCTATTTGTATAGGACCATATTCAAATGCTTTTTTAGCTAGAAGAATTTGCTTATTTAAATCTTGAAGATTTTTCATTCCTTCTTTATATAAAGATATGCATTTTTTAGTATTATCTTCCTCCTTTGATATACTTAAAAATACATTATTATATAATTTTTGTTGAATTAATTTTTATTTAATCTTAATAGTTTCTTTGTCAAACTAATTTATGTATACTCTCTATGGAAAATATCCTCAAGTACATAAACAACGCCTGAGTTATACATAGCATGGATACTTTCATCTAGTATGTAATACAGAAATAAGCGGAATAACTATATTTTTAATATTCTTTACAGTAGGTTGAGTTATGTTTTTGGTTTTATCAATTCCTTTAAATCTATTCTTTTTGTTTTTTGTTAGAATCTATACAATTATATGAATACAGGGGAGGCTAACTAGATAGTTAAGAACCTCAGTAATACATAGATATGTATAAAAATAGTCATACGACATCCACGAAATGTCAGTATAAAATTCCGGCTTCGTAACCTAAATGGTGATGATCTGTTAAATGATATGCATATATTCTTCATAAAGCAACACCTAAAAAGATTGTACCTATTATAACATGGAATCCGTGAAAACCTGTACCAAAGAAGAAACATGCTCCAAATACACCATCACTAATTGTGAAAGAAGATACATTATATTCTATTCCTTGGAATACTGTAAATATCATTGCAAGTACTACTGTAAAAATAGATCCATATAAAGCACCTTTTCTTTCACCTTTAATTAAAGAATGGTGAGCATAAGTTATAGTAGCTCCACTTGATAATAGTATTACAGTATTTAATAAAGGTAATTCAAAAGGATTAACAGGTTCTATACCCATTGGTGGTCATTGACTACCTAATTCTACTGTAGGTGTTAAAGCACTGTGGAAAAAGGCTCAGAAGATAGCTAAAAAGAACATAACTTCAGATATTATAAATAATATCACACCCATGTTTAATCCTTTTTGTACAGCTAAAGTATGATTACCAAGGTATGTACCTTCAGCTATTATATCCTTAAATCATAATGACATAGATGAAATAACTAAAAATAAGCTGATATAAAAAAATATATAGCTATTTGAGAATAAATGCATAGCAAAAACTGCATTTATTGTTAACCCTAGTAAAGATATACTAGTATATAAGGGTCAGGGACTAGGTGACACCAGGTGAAATGGATGGTCTTGAAAATGACTTCTATCTAGATATGTCATATATGAGTATTTATTTATTATTTTTGTCTAAAATCATTTTTACAATCATAAATTGTATTTCTAAAAGGTAAAACCCCCTAGAGTAAGGACTTGTAAACAAATCCTTAGTGTTCGAACTAGACCAGATTCGAACCGATATCTCTTTCCGTGACAAGGAAATTCTCTACCAAATTGAGTTACTAGTTCTAGGAGACAAGAGATTCGAACTCTTAAAAGCTTTAGCTATTGAGTTTACAGCTCAACCCTTCTTACCTATAAAGGAACCCTCCTTCACAATAATCCTTCTAGGTTTATATTAGTTAAATTTTATGATTCCCGTGCAACTTCCACTACACGAACCGTATTTCGACTTTACACTAATTAGAACCACGCATACGAAGATTTTTACTAAAAGAAAACAAACTACTTATAGTTTTTACAATATAGTAAAAAAGCAAACTTATTGCGCACGTTCCTTTCAGCATGTGACGAGTGGTTAGTACCAATCCAAAGGTATATTCACCGTGTCATGGTGATTCACGATTACTAGTAATTACTTATTCATATAGTCGAATTCCAGACTACAATCCTTTTTATATCCTATTTTTTGAGATTAGCTAGAATTCACATTTTTGCTTCTCTTTGTTTAGGTATATGTGGCACGTCTATAGCCCACAATATCAAGGCCATGATGACTTGTCTTAGTCCCTCCTATTTTCGCCAAGTATTTTGGAAAAATAAACTTTATCGTAAAAAAAAAATAAAGTATGGGATTTCGTTAATTTTATGGAAACCATAGTTTCACAACATTAACTGAAAACAGCCGTGCAACTCCTGTAATATATTTATTATTCAAATTGTGGTAAGGTTTTTCGTGGATCATCGAATTAAACAACATACTTCACTACTGGGGTTAGAAACGGTCTAGTGATTTCAGTTCCTGCGTTGCCACATTACTCTTGAGGTGAAATGCTTACACTTTCATTTATAGTTTGAATAAATTTATTCAACCCATGGCATTCATAATTTACTGCAAAGACTACTTGGGTATCTAATCCTTTTTGTTATCTATGCCTTCGTCCCTCAACGTCAGTTTTTACATAAAGGGCTGCCTGCGCCTTTACCGAGTCCCTTTGGTATCACGAAATTTTATCTTTCCTCCTCAAGTACTGCCCCCTTACATAGAAAACTCTAGTCTTATATTAACATTTTTACAAGATATATCGACCGTTTAGGTACCCTTTAAACCTAATTAAGATGAATAACACTAGTCTCTTACGTATTACCGCGACTGCTGGCACGCAATTAGTCAAGACGGTATATATATACTGTCATTATCAGTATATAAACAAAGCTTCATTCAAAATTAATAGAACTTTTATATTCTCGTGTTAAAAAACACATATAAAAGCTTATCACTTCTCCAAGTTGCCAGTTCAGCCGTTAGGCCATTGACCAATATTCCTCACTGCTGTACTAATATGCATTGGGATTTTTTCAGACCCAATGTGGTCGATCAACCTTTCAGTTTCGACTACGAGAGTTGTAGGCTAGTTAAGCCATCACCTTAACTACTACCTGTCTCGGAAATATTCATTGTCCTCTTAAAGCGGAGATAATTATCTCCTTTTTAATAAAGAATTTAGCTTTACTTTAAGGTCGGCGGAGAATATATTTATACTCACCTGTACACCACTTTTTAACTTAGAAAAATTAAAACGTTCGATTAGCATGTGTCAAGCACTTGGACAGCATTCAATCAGAGCCATCACCAAACTCAATTTATAAAATATTTATTCATAACCGAAAGGTTACTAATATAATAAATATTACTATTTCATCTACGCAAGTAATAATAGAGGTTAATAAACTATTTATTGTTATATTCACTTTATAATAAATGTTCAAAGTAAAAATAGTCTGTACGCTTATTTTATGTATTTACTATAATTAATTATATTATTTAATTTCTCTTTTTATTTTTTCTTTATTTTTAATGTTTTATATAAATGTACTTTATAGTTGTTATAATTTTCCATAACCCCTATTATACATTTCTTTTTCTTAAATTAAGTATTTGATTATTTAAAATTAATGTAAATCTAACCCGTCTTTTATATAAGAAGATGATAATACAACAAAAACTTGTGCTTGGATAAAAGCTATAGCTAATTCTAAACCAGAAAAAGCTATAATAAATAATAAAGGTATTAATCCTAATATGAAGAATATAATTCCTGAATTCATAATATTATAAACAAATCCACTTAATATACTTAATAACATATGACCAGCTGTAATGTTAGCTGCTAATCTTAGTCCTAAAGAAACATTTCTAGCTAAGTATGATATTAGTTCTATAGTTACTAATAATGGTAATAAAGCTAAAGGACAACCTGCTGGAACAAATAAAGAAAAAAATTTTAAACCATGTCTTTGGAATCCTAAAATAGTAGCACCTAAAACTATAGTGAAACTTAAAGCAAATGTAAGAGCAAAATGACCTGTAGAAGCAAAACTATATGGAATCATACCAATTAAATTATTTATTAAAATGAATATGAATAAAGTATATATAAAAGGAAAATAAATTTGTCCATTTCTAGGGTTAATTTGATTTGTTACAATATTATGTATTGTAACATATAAAGATTCTTGAGCTATTGATCAGTTGTTACTTACTAATTTGTTATAATTAGTAGCTGTTATAGAC